CATTGGCATAACAGATTTGTAGATTTTCGTAATTAAGAATGGTAATGTAAAAGAAAATACTAACAGATTGTTCTTTGCCTGTCACAGATACGCATTGGACAACGACAAAATTATATTACGGGGTTGCGTGCTTAGGAACACGCAATGGTGCTATGGGGTGGTCATCTTTGCAGGCAAGGATACCAAATTGATGCAAAACTCAGGGAAGACCAAATTTAAGAGAACCTCTATAGATAGGCTGCTGAATCTCCTGATCATCGGGATAGTGTTCTTTTTACTTTCCATGTGTTTGTTCTGTATGATCGGATGTGGTATTTGGGAGAGCCTCGTGGGCCGTTATTTCCAAGTGTATCTACCCTGGGACTCGTTGGTGCCTACCGAGCCCATGGGCGGTGCCACAGTGATCGCTTTGCTTGTGTTCTTTTCTTATGCTATTGTATTGAACACGGTGGTGCCAATCAGTTTGTATGTGAGTGTTGAAGTTATCCGATTTGTTCAGTCGTTTTTGATTAACTGGGACGAGGAGATGTACTACGCACCTACGAACACACACGCGAAGGCAAGGACTACTACCTTAAACGAAGAGTTGGGACAAATAGAATATATATTTTCCGATAAGACCGGGACTCTCACGCAGAATATTATGACTTTTAATAAGTGCTCTGTGGCAGGGAAATGTTATGGGGACGTTATTGACGAAGTTACCGGAGAAGTCGTCGATTTAAGCGAGGTGAGTCTGTTTGTCTCTTTACATGTAACCAGACTCGATGCTGATAATGGGGTACGTTGCCACTAAATCGTTTGCCGTACAATGGAATCACTAGTCCTTTTTTTTCTAGCTTCTAATGTTATATAAGCGTACAAATTTGTTCTTTTTTTCTTTTTAAGTGGAACACTTATTTATTATTGCAACTGAATTTATGTGATTGCAATGTTCACTGCACTAGTGATATATTGGACTCTTTTTCCTGTCGTGTACATACCTAACATCAGAAAATACAAGTAATTTAATAATTTGATGAAAGAAGGAAACACGCTTGTTCTTTAGGATATTGTTACTTAAACGCAAACATTTCATTTTATTTTTAAAATATACACACTTCTGTTGAATATGATTGAATCATCAAGAAATATTAATTCTCAATAAACCAAGTTCATTCATTTCATGTTTGTTATCAAGAAGAATGTATTATTAATTTTTGTTATTTAAGCAATAGAAACTATTGTTAGAATAGTATAAGTATCAAATGAATGTGTAACGTGTAGCATTTCGTTTCTTGATAACAAAATAGATACAATCAAATCATTTCACAGTTTGGCCATATTTTGCATAAGTTTTCATGTACATCACTTAGCATGTGTGTGCTGCATGTAGACGGACAAAGCTGCCCAAACGCCAACGATGAGATGGAAAAACGGCCAAGAATTTGTCCAAGTTTATACTCCAATAACTGGTCCAAACGTACGTCTACTGGAACATGTGGACAGGATATCCAATATAATTCCAGAACCAGGCATCTATGGCAGTTCGATGATTCCACATAAACTTTCAGTACGCATGTTAATAATTATTGCACATCCTCCAGAAACGAAGAGTATTTTACTTCATGTTCTGTTCTCTATTTACTGCTATATTTCTTTCTGTTGCTTTCAGTTCTAAATAATTAGACGTTATATATGGTATAAGTATTATTGTGTTTTCTAAATGCAGTGAATGACACTAAAAGTGCTTTTTCACTTAAACACCCTTAGTGTACTAATTGCATGCGTAGTGCTACTTTGGTCTGCTTAGATAATATAAATTAATTTTCACAATGCTTTAAAGAATTATAAAATTATAACATCTTATGTGCCTGCTGACTTACATCAAAACTATTTATCTGGAGGCAAGGTATTTAACTTCTAGTTCTATAGTACTTCCGTTTTCACGTACCATCTTTTCTGTGTCGTATTAACAGAATATCAATGTAAGAGGAACAACACAGTTTTATAGTAACATATACCGTACTTTTACAGACGTTACCAGCGTTGGACTTCTCGTTTAACAAAGACTACGAACCAGAGTTCAAGTTCTATGATGCTGCACTACTGGAAGCTGTAAAGCGGAATAACGAACACGTTCATAGTTTCTTTCGATTATTGGCACTTTGTCATACTGTTATGCCCGAGGAAAAAAATGGGAAGCTAGAGTATCAAGCACAATCACCGGACGAGGCTGCCCTTGTATCCGCTGCAAGAAACTTCGGTTTCGTATTCAAAGAAAGATCTCCGAATAGCATAACGATTGAAGTCATGGGCAACCGCGAAGTGTACGAACTACTTTGCATTCTGGATTTTAATAACGTTAGGAAAAGAATGTCCGTGATCTTAAGGAGGGACGGCCACCTTAGATTATATTGTAAAGGCGCGGATAATGTTATTTATGAACGGTTAAAGAAAGGCAGCGAAGACATCATGGCGAAAACATTAGAACATCTTAATAAATTCGCGGGTGAAGGCTTAAGAACATTGTGCCTTTCGGTCAGAGATCTGGATGAACAGTTTTTCAATGATTGGAAACAACGTCATCAGGAAGCTGCCTTGAGCCAGGAAAATAGGGATGACAAATTGGATGCGATCTACGAAGAAATAGAGAAAGATATGACGTTATTAGGCGCGACTGCTATTGAAGATAAGCTACAGGATGGTGTACCTCAAACTATTGCTAATTTAGGTCTTGCTGGTATCAAGATCTGGGTATTAACTGGTGACAAACAAGGTAAAAATATGTTTAAATTTTTCTGAGTTGCGTCTAGTATGTATGTATTATATAAGTGTAGAAGTACATCATTTTTTATAAAACGATACTTATATTATTTATTTTATTCGTATACAGAAACTGCTATCAATATTGGCTATTCCTGCCAGTTGTTGACAGATGACCTTACAGATGTCTTTATAGTGGACGCTACTACTTACGATGGTGTTGAAAATCAATTAACGCGATACTTGGAAACAATCAAAACAACGTCCAGTCATCAAAATCGGCCAACTCTCTCCGTTGTCACATTCAGGTGGGACAAGGAAAGGTCAGGCACATGAAAGAGACGGAGTACAACCATTAACCTTTTCCATACCTATTTCTGACTAATTAACGCATTTATTTTCGAAGTTTCTCTTTTGTATTGAATGTGGCATCATGTTCTGTGTAACGCTTTCTTTGTCTGGTTATGCCTAAGAATAAAGTTTTTGAGATTTAGTTCTATGTTTTCGACATTATAAAACACTGAGAGGTGAAAATACCAAGTGTTGAAATGTATGATATTATAAAAGTCCTCTTGCTAGATATAAACTAAGCATTTTCAATAATGTTTCTACTTTGAAACTATTGAATAATTAAAATATTATTTGGCATGCATTTCACAAGATTGTAAAAATGTCGATAAGTTACATACATCGAACCTTGTTTCAATTCAATTTAATTTCACTCAATTTGCTATGCATATGATACCAATATTCTCAGGTTTGAATTGAGTTAATTTCCTTCAAGTTTTCCGATATACAATAAAGCATATACTTGCATGCAGAATTGAAAATATTTATACACATGGAAATGTTAAAGTTGTACCAAATATAATTCTCCATACTTTAATAACTGAAGGATATTCAAACCATTTACCACATGCTTGTCAATTATTCTTTCTATGAAGTAGATACTTCATTATAGTAGATTAGGTACTAGTCCTTTTTCTTCTTAAATACTACAATTTTTTGTTCTGTACATTTTCAATGCCCCATGATCTTATTTCAATATCAATAGCCCAAATCAATAATGACAATTACCATGTGCTTGATACTCACTCCTTCTCTTTCTGTATGCTTAAAATTAATCTTAGTAATAATGATAATAACACAAAGAGTATGGTGCTTATGTCACATTATTATATCAGTAGTCCATGATACAGTGCACTGTGTGTATTGTTTATAATTAATACGCATCGTTTTGTATCCGAAGAAGCAATTGAAGTTTCCCTTTTTTCTTATGCAAGTAAAACTCAATATTTTATCACATATTGTATTTGAAAAAAATATTACACATTCAGTTCACTTTATAAAAAAGATCGAGATTCAACTTCACGAAATTGAAGCTTTATGCCTATAGAATATCTATCACCTAAATTTTATATTTTTCATATATAGCAGTGATACTGAATACAATCCTAGTAGAGACGAGCAAGATGAACACGAAATGGAACAGGCAACCGGATTCGCTGTAGTTATCAATGGGCATTCTTTAGTTCACGCGTTGCATCCACAGTTAGAACAACTCTTTCTCGATGTATCAAGCCAGTGTAAGCGATACTAAAAATATTTTCATTTTTCCCCCCCTATGAATTGCTACTTGATATTATATGTTTTAAAATTTTAGGTAAAGCTGTGATATGTTGTCGTGTAACACCCTTACAAAAAGCAATGGTCGTCGAATTAATCAAGAAAAACAAAAATGCAGTAACTTTAGCAATTGGCGATGGTGCTAATGATGTCTCAATGATTAAGACAGCACATATTGGTGTTGGCATCAGTGGCCAAGAAGGATTGCAAGCTGTTTTAGCATCCGACTATTCGATAGGACAATTCAGATTTTTGGAAAGACTGCTTCTCGTTCATGGTAGATGGTCATATTATAGAATGAGCAAATTTCTTAGGTATTTTTTTTACAAGAACTTTGCGTTTACACTATGCCACATCTGGTTTGCCTTTTTCTGCGGATTCAGCGCACAGGTATGATCTTCTTTTTCATTTGGCCGATTTATATAGTAATATAGCGTTTTATGATTAACTTATTTGATATTATAACGATATGATGAGTTTAAGGCGAATATGATATAAAAAATTCCTTTGTTGAGCAATTTGTTCCAAAGTCGAGTATCGTAATATGAATTTTCTTTTTATTCTGATTTTTCAATATTCCATTTAAACTTGCTTTAAAAGATACGTTACCATATATCCTTATAAATGTTCATTTTCTTGCAGACTGTATTTGATCCTATGTACATTTCTGTGTATAATCTCTTTTATACGTCATTACCTGTAATGGCCGTCGGTATATTTGATCAAGATGTTAATGATAAAAATAGTTTATTATATCCAAAACTGTACGCACCCGGACTGCAAAATATGCTTTTCAATAAGAAGGAATTTTGCTGGAGTGCCATACACGGTTTTTTTGCTAGTTGTGTGTTATTTTTAGTTCCATATGGTAAGTTCCAGTAACTTCATTCTCCTTTCATTAAATCTTCAAGTCTAAAGTATTTCAAATAATTTGAAATCCAAATGTTCAGGAACATATAAGGATGGAGTATCACCAAAGGGCTATGTACTTTCTGATCATATGTTACTGGGAAGTGTCGTAGCCACTATATTAGTTATAGTCGTGACCGTTCAAATAGCCCTTGATACGTCGTATTGGACGATCGTCAATCATATTATGGTTTGGGGCTCGCTCATTTGGTATTTTATTTTAGATTATTTCTATAACTTCGTCATTGGTGGTAGTTACGTTGGCAGTCTTACTATGGTATGTAAATAATATTTCCTAATCATGAATATTTTTAATTATAGAGGAAAGCAAACCCGTGTACATGGCAAAGTCAAGTGTTGAAATATCCTTGCCTAAAATCTTCAGAACAAATTTTAATAACAAATTATTTAGTAGGACAATATTTGAAACATTGACATACGTTTAGTTTGTCTCTTGACTTAGCAATGTTTGCATCGTTGCTTTCCATTGTAAATGTGATACTAACATTTATATATATATACACTTTCAGGCAGTGTCGGAACCAACGTTTTGGTTTACAGCAGTCATTTCGTGTATCATATTGGTAATACCTGTACTATCGTGGAGATTCTTCTTCATAGATGTTAGGCCAAGTTTGTCTGATAGAGTTAGACTTAAGCAGAGGCTGGCACAACTACGTTCCCGGCAAAGTCAAGACATACTTCGTACACCATCTACGAGGCGAACGCGACGGTCCCTTCGTTCGGGATATGCTTTCGCGCATCAAGAAGGTTTTGGTAGGCTTATTACGTCCGGAAAAATTATGCGAAAATTACCAAATGGTGCAGATTTTAAGTTCGCCATGCCGTTCACGAACAGTACCAGCAAACAAGTTAGTGTCGCCACCACGTCACCAAAAGACAATGCATCCAAAAATTCGCACACACTGGATACCATTAATCTGTAGTTTGGACTTTAAGTTGTAAGTCTTTCCATTGTCTACTAATTTTCGGATTTTTCTTATAACTGATTTACTCTATGGCTGAATTCGTATTAAACACTATTCAAGTAAATTTTAAACGAGTGATTTGCTAAACCATAGCAATAATATGACAAAGTTATTAAAATTTTGTTGCAAACTAAGTTTTCGGTTTTCCGCAGGACGGTTTTCGTCCATCTGATTTTCAACCAAATCTCATTTTATGTGCAATCCGTTCTCGCTATATACACGATACACGAAATAAATTTCGTGTATTTACTTGGATTATAATAAATGCGAAACCATTCATTGGCTTACTAAACTTGATCATTTTCTTATTATTGCTTACAAAAATTTAAGTAATCGAAATTCATCAGACAATAAAGTATTAATGGTTTGCATAAGAAATTCTATACACCTAGTAACTACTGAAAAGTACCATTTCTTTTTTTCGCCAAAAATTACTATTACTTGAAATATAACTTAATAATATGTATTTTTACAAGATCAGTTATTCTAGAATTTTCGTAAGGCTTTGTATTTTGTTAAATTTCTCAACAGCAGAAACCCAGATACATTTTGTTTAAAGTAGAAATAAACGATTAAGGATACTTCATTTATTCGATTACATATAAAAAATATTCTGAGGTGAAATATTTTGGTTTACATTTTTGTTGTAAAACAAAGGTTTAGAATGAAAAAGGTCATCAAACTTAAAATATTCATTAAACTGTTAATAGTGATCCCTTGCAAACTCTGAAGCAAAGCATATAAAGAAAAATGTACAGGCTTATTTGTGATTATACATTTTTACTTCAAATTCGAAGAAAAAAAGGACAAACTATGGAAGCAGTAAAGGCTACGTGTATAAAAACTCGGCTAATGTCTATTGGTTGCCTGCAATTAATCATTTTAGCTACTTATAGTAGTTAATTAATTGCTACTGTTTTAATTAAATAAAGTCTGCAGTGACAGTAAACCGATCTCAAGTATTGTAAGATACATCTGTTTATGTAGATTAATCAGAAAATCAAAATTGAAATAATAAAAATGTTATGAATGTTTTTTTTGAGTTTTTAAAGATTTAATTAATGTCACAATTTATATGTTAAATCAAATCAATTGGATGGATAATTTAGCTTTCTCTAGAATTTATAGTTCAATGAGGTCCAATTTCTTTTATGAACCAATTTTTTCTTTATGTGAGTGATTTATAATTTAATAATTGGTATAAACCATAATGCAATAATGAGACAAACCATAATTTGTATAATCATGACACTTCCTGTGTACATATGTGTAGAGGTGTCAAAAAATCATGTAATATTCCTATGTGTATTATATACTGTCTTAATATGAACATGGTTGCTGTAAAAAATGAACAGATTTACACGATATATGATGCGTATATAAATAACAATTATAGTTATGATAATAATTGCCTTTATAAAGTATAAATACAAGAAACAATTAAAATTACTGTATCATAGCATTGACTGTAAATATTTTAAAGAGTATGTATATATAGTATGTATATATATATATGTATATTATATATTATGTAATGTATAATATATGTATGTATATATATATTTATTATATTAAATGTTAAGTATACATTTTTTAAAAGAAAGTAATATATAGGTAGATCGATTAAAAAAAATGATACGAAAATAGTAGCTATATTATATTATACTACTGCGGATAATGTTTGCCTTGGACTGACTATTAAATATATAAATATATATACATTATATACATATATGTGTATATATAGATACATATATATGTATATGTTTATATATATATACATATATTATAATAAACTAAAAACAGTAGTAAACAATGAAATATGTATTTCTACTTTTAATATTACAATGAATTCTAGGGAGATATAGTCTGTATTGGGAAAGTGTGTTCCACAAAGAACTTTTTTATTTAAACAGAAACATAGGAATTTATTGCTTTCAAACATTGTGCCTAATCAATAAGCTACACAGAGTGTTTCACGTTGCAATGATACATTTTGTTCAATTTCTACTTATGGAATATGTTATACAGTTATATTTATGACTGTGTTTCTCTTATTTATTAATATTGCTATGTTATTGTCTCTAATTCTTTAAGTGTTATTGTTCTTATGTGAACTCGTTTTCTTGATTACCTGAAGAAGCAAAAACATTTATGCATGAAGTTTACTTACTTCATACTATATACCGATCCAGAGTAATTGATCCAGAGAAAAGATTTAACTGATGAGACTGCTGTATTTTTATCTTCTTCAGTTTGAACTGCATACTGCAGAAATAATGAGATGCAAAATGCAACAATAGTAATTTTTTTTCGCGTTCGACAAATTAGTACATTTCTGTTATTCTAAATTTGAAAAGTTTTATGTATGATAAGTATACTTTGTCAAAACGATGTTGTCCTTTTGTTTAATAGAATAAAATATGTTCTTAAAGTGAGACTTATCAATCAAGAATTGAGATATAAAAACTGAATTTTGTATAATAAAAAGTTGGACTTTCAATAATGATATGAATGGACTGAAGAATAATTTTACAAAGTATTTATAAAACAAAAAAAGTTGTGGAATCATCTTCAATATCGGAAACCAAAATGTACCGTACTAAACTATTTGTATCCGGAAAATTGTGAGCATATTCTTCTTAATAGTCGGATACAGATGATAGTTACCTAGGAAACAAGCAAATGCACCGCCTATATTTTTCGTCTAAACTGATTTACATATACATTTATTTTATAACACTTCTTGCTAAGTAGTATTTGGAGATGTGATATTATTATTACGATCAGCTATATCATAATGTATGTATTACTTACTTTAAATCCCTGAATAGACATTGTTTCACTTTAATTTGCGATACATCCTTGTTGTAGAACCGTGTACCATGATTTTTAAATAATATAAAGTGACATTAACTATAATATTATATTTGTGTTAAATTGTATTATATTTTAATTATGTAATTTTTATAAAATATATACGCTGAATCGAATTATTCGCAATTTAGCTAATTTAATACATTTAATAGATCTATGTTGATCTCCCAATAAATGAGATGTACTAATATTGTTTAAAGATCTTGGTAAATATTGACTTAATGTAAAAACTAAGAAATTAAGGAAGCTAAGCATTATAAGATAGTCATAACATGTTGTTGGTTGCATAAGTTGTTACATATGTTACTTTAAATACTGAATCAAATGTCTAGAAAACAAAATGCGAAGAGCAAATTGTCTGCTGCATGTGCTCTATAGACTGCGCATCAATTACTGCTTCAAAATATTTGCTTAGGACATAGTATATGATTTAATGAACAAAAAACTATTATACCCCTTGTAGACATGTACAATTACGAGATCTTCATTGCATTTCCTATTCAAGGAATAATCTGTTAAAGCTGTTTCAAGTACGTGTTCTCTATGGGATGCTAATATAAGACAATAATATCAACAATTAAAAAAGTTATAAAAACCATAATTCATAATATGCTCTTATTTGATATTTTCCTAAAAATTTTTTTTCAATATTCATATGTATATTTAAATGGGAAATATGTTTCTGTTTTTTTATCATACTATGTCCTATGTACTGTTTGCAATGTATCCTATTTTATGTATTGAATGATGCATCCTATTTCAAAATACCAGCCCTACTGGATTAAGGGATGTTTTACAAGCATGTTACACATGTAGGGCCATGCTGAAGAGCATAATAAAACAATGCTGATGTTATCGAATACAATGTTCCTTGCAAAGTGCACGCAGGATAGGGAGATAGTATATACACACATGAGAAACATTAAATCTATTAATAGTTATGTTACATTTCAAGCGGTGGTGACTTTAATGGATTATGTATTAATCGAACAATTGAAATTTATTTTCCTTTGCAATTTCTGCGGTTGTCACGCTCAAATATATGTTCAGTTGCGTATAAACACATTGTCACAAACGATAGCGGGAAGTTTTAATTTGTATGTTTCAACGAAGACGACGAT